GGCGCATGGCCTGGGCAGCCATCAGATCCTCCCTTAAACAAGCACTGATAGACTGTAGTGCTGTGATATTCACTTCAGAACTCTTGACCTGAAGATTGTTTTAGAAAGGCAACCTTCCCCAACCTGGTGCTTCCAGAGGTGCATGGACATAACCTCCTAGCAGTCGCAGCCACACAGTCATATTCACAAGAAACTGGAGTCTTTTGATACTGGAGCTATGTCAAGGCTAACTCCAGTAGTAAAATCCAGAGCTCTTTACATTATAGAAGGCATCCTTCAATGCAATGACATTTGGCTAAGGCAAATAATAACTCCTCACACTGAGTTTGAAACCAGAGGAAGGTTGGCCACCTTAATATTATGTTTTCCCTCCCTTTAAGTGAATTACCGAGGATCTTTGGGCTTTGGCCAGGATAGTGTGGATTCTCTACCAGGAAATGTGGGTACCCAGGATGTCAAAGATGTGCAGGTAAGAATTCCCTTCCTCTGTTTCCAACAAGAGTGGTGGAAACCTTCACTGGAAGGAGAAACATAGATATTTACTGTAGCTAGAAGGAGATTCAGCTGACTCCAAGGAGCATGGCACTTTATATTCCATTAGAAAATTTTTCCAGATAAAAGTATCAGTAGGGTAAGTGTGGAGTTCTTATGGGACTATGTCTCCTCCAGAGAGGTATGCAATATATTTGTTCTTATATATACAAGACCAGGAAATTTTAACACAAGGGTCTATCCAAATATAATTTCTTCTTTCCAAAATACACATTGAGGTGACATAGTCCTATCAAAACTCTGCTACAAACATTTGGAATGGGTTCCTTTGTCCAACTATCTATTCAAGATGCTGTATCCTGTTTCCTCCTGCAGTAATTGTAAACCTTTTATTTTTCTTGTAGTTCTGTGTAGAGCAGATGCTACAGGAAGAACCTCTGGATCCAAAGAGAGTAGCTTTGCTTGGAGGATCTCATGGAGGTTTCTTATCTTGTCATCTGATTGGCCAATACCCTGGCACTTATAAAGCCTGTGCGGCCAGGAATCCCGTGGTCAATATGGCCTCCATGATTGGAAGCACCGATATCCCTGATTGGTGAGTATTTCTGAACAACTATGTTTTTACCTTTGAGGAGATGCTGTCATTACTGATGCTTGCTCTGTGGCTTCTTCTAGGTGCATGACTGAGGTTGGGTTACCCTATGACCAAGCTGCTCTCCCAGTTCCTGAACACTGGGCAAAGATGCTGCTTCATTCACCTATGCAGTACGTTGACAAGGTACAACACATCCTTCCCTCCCTTTTTGTATATCCAGTACCCTCACATCCCCATATTTTTTCTACTTAGTTTCAGTGCTCTGATTTCCATCTTGCATTGTTTTCCCTTAGGTTCAAGCACCAGTTCTCTTAATGATTGGAGAAGAAGATAGACGTGTTCCCCCCAAGCAAGGCTTGGAATATTACCGTGCACTTAAGTCAAGGGGTGTTCCAACCCGGTAAGCATTTTGGGTAGAGATGCAAAAAATGGGGGTCCGCAAGAGGGTTTTATGAGACCAAAGAGACTGGAAATGTATGCAACTGGGAAAAAAAGAAAATAAAATGATAATCTGGGCA